CAGAGCCCTGGGATGGACTGGCAGCACAGGTATGTCGGTGTGGACAGCCACAGACCAGCCCATGCACTCGTTTTATAGCAGGGCTGGGGGAAGTCGCTTCCATTTATGTCGTCTTTGTGGATCTAGAGAGGTCTAGGGGAAACTTAGCCTCTTGGCTCTTTGGCTTCCTTTACCACTTGGTTTTTTTATGCAGTAAACCCAGTTCTGTGACTTAAGAACTTCATATTCCTGGAACTTTCTAAAACTGCATCAACACCATTAACTTTTTCAGAAAATAATAATTACCAAAAAAGTATTTAGCAATCACCAAAGGTTGAAAAAACCCTGGAGGTTACACAGAAGAATTAAGTAGTATCTTTGTGGCAAAAGTGGAGTCCTATCTGATGTACTTGTAGGTTCTTAATGATGAGCATGAATAATATAATTCACTCACACCTCCTTTTCCTCATTTATGAAATGGTGATGATAATAATAGGACCTACCTTGTAGAGTTGTGCAGGTTGATTATCATAATGCATGTGTGCTATAGTATATGCGTATAATCAAGACTAGCCATCACTCCTTTATGTACTTCCCATTGAAAACTTAGTAAGAGTCAAGCAATAAAGCAGGCCACTAAAATTGTTGGTCTTTGATACATCATCATTACGAAATTATTTAAGGGTATTCTGATGTGTCTGCTGTATGAGCTGTTCTTAGCTCTTCTGGGAAAACATCAGTCCACTAGAGGACTGTGGAGACGATAAGAGGAGAGCTCTTTTTTAATGGCCTGGAAAGCTGTGTCCAACCAAAATCCATTTTCAAGGCCACTGTGTTTATATACACTTGGTTTCCTTTACTGTGGCCACCTGTGAGCTCTTACCATTAGGTCAGAACAGATGAAGTAGAGGGAAAAGTAGCAACAGGAAGGCATCCATCAATCGGCTTCCTCTGGTTCTCACGCAAGGAGGACACCCGTGTAGGAGACTGTGACTCAGTCTGACGAGACCCTTAGAACATCACTTGGGCCCTAAAATGCATCTACTTGGTGACCTGGGCCACTTAAATCTAGCAGACACTGATTTTATCTTATGCTTCTCAATTGTATACACACACTCACACACACTAGTATATTAATTCTGGGGTACACATAAACCATAAACCCCCAGCCCACTGTATGGAGATCCCAAGGTAGCAACTTTTCTTTAAATATAAGAACCCCAAACTTAGTTTGAGATTCTCTGCAAAGATTGGGTTTTCTCTGATCACAACAGACATTTGCTTCATTCTTATCTCCTTTCCAACCACAGGAGCAGCTCTTATGAACAAACGGGACATGCAGTATGTCCAGAGGATGAAGTCAAAATGGTTGCTGAAGACGGGAATGAAGAACAATGCCACCAAGCAGATGCACTTTAGGGCCCAAGTGATGTTCTGAGGGCCTGCTGTGGATTGAGGCATTGTCTCCTGTACAGGGGTCCTTGCCTGGGAACCAGCAGAAGCTGATTGTATGACAGTCCTTTTGCTGCTACTTCTCCCTGTACTTTATCTGTTCTGACCGAATAATAAAAGGCAGAATCATATTGGCTCTTGAATATCATTTCTGGTCAGATTTTAAAGGTTATGTTTTTACAAAGTGTCTACTGGACTCAGGACTTGCACTACTGCTGGGAAGTGTCTGTTGCCTTACCCTTTATCTGATTTATGGCTGTCAGCATAATATGGGAAACTCACTAGTGACTTGTCTGTTTCAAAGTTTAACTTTCAGAAGAGTGACTTAGCAGATGATGGCACTGGAACCTTGTAAGAGGGCTTCGTTGAACGTCACCCGTTTGAATGTACTGCGGCTCAGGAGGTGGTGAAAGTCTGGGCTCGTTCATTAAATTCAGGCAAAGTTAAAGAGCATATCAGTGGCTTGCTGTACAGGCTCTTCATTTCTAAATATGAACACAAGGATGACGGGTCTGCACTCAGTTTCCAATACTGCCTTTATGTGAGCAGTTAGTTCAGGAAGGAAATAAGTGTAGTGTTTACATCTCATTTTAGAAACAAGTTACCTGAGGATGAAATCTCTGAAGTTGGTTGAGAGGAAACATTGGAAACAAAGTTAAACACTAAGTTCAAATCCATTCAGCTACCTTTGTGCCTAGAAAATTGACTTGGTTTTTCAGTCTGTAAAATGGGGTGTTTACTACCTCACAGGTTGGGGTTAAATAAATTTGCTAGAGGACGCATCACTCATTCAGTCCCCAGCGTAAAGTAAGTGCCAAAGGTCTCTGGTTGACCAAATTGGTGCCACACCGAATGGCCTGTGTTCTGGTCAGAGCAATGTTCTGAGTAGTGGATGTAGGAATGCCAGGAGACCATGCCTGTCCTTAGCATGTGTTCACGGGCCCTCATTTGCAAGAGACATGCCTCACAAACTTTGGATGCGCAGTTGAGTTAATTCTATTTCCTCTGTACACCAGTCCATTACCCTCCACAGTGAGGGCTCCCTGACTTCAGTTTTGCTCCTTCATCCTGTTTTCTAAATCCTTGTACAAGTGCCTGCCCTCTTGTGTTTGACACATTTTAAATCTGTATCCTGGGAAATGAGGTAGTGCTTCGCCTGAGGTATGCTTTTAATTTACACTTAATGAATTACATGATACTGTGCTATGGCCCGTCAGTTTCCTTTTTATTCACTCAATATGATGATAAACCTAGTTCACTGCTTCTGACTGCTGTGAGGTGTCCATAGTGTGTATCCCCTACCTGGTGCTTACCTCGTCCTGCAGCCGTTACCACACCAGCCCAGCACTGCAGTGTACCTCGTTCGTATCCATACGCCTTTAATTTTGAGCATTTTTACTTTGGGGGACAGTGAGGATAGTATGTGTACTGACCTATAATACTCCTGCCACTTTCCCCCCAGACTTTGTGTGAATTTCCTTCTTAGTTTTGATTCTGGGTTTGTGAAGCAATCCACTGTCTCACCTCTGTCTACATCACAATTTTATAGAATTCAGTTTTCTTGCCTTTCTGGAGTAAAATTCTATTGGGAGGGAGAACAAAGAAAAGAGAGATTTAGACATCATCTCAGAGTTGAATGAACCAGACAAGAAACATGACGAATGTACTTAAATAGGAGACATCTTTGTGGACTAGGGAAATATGGAAATGTCCGATGGTTTGTTTCCTGGTCATTCTCTCCTTGGATGTTTGTCTGTCTTTCTTTCCCTAGATACACTGTTTCCCACTCTGTCTTCTGTAGCTAGGATTCCTTGGGCTTCCTAGCCCATCCCTACACAGTGATTTGCTACTATTTTGTTCTTTCATAGCCACATGCTATTTTTTTAAAGGTTTTAAATGGACCAATTACTCTTTTCAAAGCAGAGTTAGTTTTAATTCTTTTTAAATATATATATTTTTATTGATTTCAGAGAGGAAGGGAGAGGGAGAGAGAGAGAAACATCAATGATGAGAGAGAATCATTGATTTGCTGCCTCCTGCAAGCCCCACATTGGGATCGAGCCAGTAACTTGGGCATGTGCCCTGACTGGGAGTTGAACCATGACCTTCTGGTTCATAGGTCGATGCTCAACCACTGAGCCATGCCAGCTACATGTTCTTTTCTTGACATCTCATGGCCATTGCATTGGAGAAGTGGGTAGAGAAGCTGCTTAAGACCTAGGGAATGCTGCTATCCTTAACTTAATGCTTGATCATTTTTAACTAGAGGCCTGGTGCATGAAAATTCATGCACTGAAGCGGGGGGTCCCTCAGCCCGGGAGCCCTCGGGCTGGAGGCGACCTGGTGATCAGGGGAAGGCGATGCCCCCATCACACCTCTGCTGCTGCCACTGCTGGCAGCACAGGCCTCAACCGGCCCTGGTTATCTGAGCCTCGGGTGGCTGGGCAGCCGCCATCTGAGGCTTGCCTTCACCTTGGGCCACCCTGGGCAGCTGGGAGGCTAAGGGGACTGGGCGACTCCAGAGGCAGGCCGCCCCAGCAGGGCTGAGGGGACGACACCGCCATCTTGTGGCTGTGGGTGCCGCCATCTTTGAGGGTGGGGCAGTCAATTAGCATAGTCCCTCCTTATTGGCTGTGGGCACTGCCATCTTTGTGATGGCATGAGGGTCAATTAGCATATTCCCTCTTTATTAGATAGGATTTTCCCTACTTGACATATTGTTGTTATTGGTCTTTGGTCTCTCCAAATTTTCATTATTCACAATTCTTTTTTATTAAATTTAAAATTAATCCAAATTAACCCCAAATTTGATCATTTTGCTAAATCCAAATTTGTAATCCAATCCCTATGGATATTTCCACTCATTGCTTATTGTCTTTAAGACAGCCAGTTGTGTGGATACAGAGCAATGGTATTACAGGTTCTTCATCAGTACAAAGTTGTCACTGGCTGCTGCAGCTGGCTGCCCGTGACTGTGGAATCTTCTCTCTTGGGAGAAATCTCAGGACCACATGGCCCTTGCAAGTTTATGTGTCTGTCTTTAGTTTGAGACATCAAGACTGGGATCAACACTGATTGTAGTGATGGCGACACAACTCTGAATCTTCTAAAAGCCAATGAATTGTACACTCTAAATGTGTGAAGTGTCTGGTGTGTGAATTATATCTCAATAAGATGTTTATTTTTAAAAGACCAGGATTAAAAGTCAGAGAATATAACCTATTCCCTCTCCATAGGTGTTACCTGTGGCTGTGCTGGTTGTTTGCACTGCATGTCTACAGAATGGATGCAGGCTTAACCTATTCGTCCTGCTTTGCTGGATGTAAATTTGTGGTTTAGTGAGCATAACATGCTTTTATGCACCATTTTCCCCCCTCCACTGTGAGGTGTAGGTAGCATTCTTGTTTTACAGATGAGGAAATAGACTCAGGGAAGGTCTTAATATTATAACGCACTGATACAGAATCCTGGGCCTCATTTATTCTACAGTGCACACTTGCACACCCAGTGCGCCGTAAACATTTACTCAAGTCCATGAGACTTGCAGCAGCTCTGGAAGAAGTTTGTTCTAGAGCTAGAAATACATGGAATCTAATGTTTACATTATTGTTACATACATGATACACACATGAGTAACAAATGTTGCAGGCATGAAAGGAGATACCACCTTTTCTTGCCTAGAACGTGAATGAATTTGAATTTTGCCCCCCACCAATTTTGGACACTTGCGGATTCATAATTGTTAAGCTGCTCTCCTCCACCTTAGTTATTTCTAAACTCTTTTAGATCCCATTGGACATTATTAATTTGGAATTCACAATAATTTGTATGCAGGAGACCAGCTGTGTTGCCAACTCAGTGTGCAGACTTTTTTGCAAGATAATCTGTCAGTCTAGAGAAATTTATAAATGCTTTGAAGAATACACATTTCACTTAGCCTCATTTGTAATCAGCACATTTTTTATGACAAAATTGATGGAGATTAGGAAGAGTTGGTTAGCTTGTTAATACTGCTGCAAACATTTGAATGTTCACATAATAATTATTGATCATTTGTGGGCTGAACCTGGGTGCTCAGGATTGTATGTTGAGATTCCTCTGCGGTACATACATATCAGTAACTGACAGGCCAAGAAAAACCTATTTCTCCTCCCAGTAGTACATACTGGTCACGACTACTCTGCAAAGTCAAACTTTTTCAGCTCCTTCAGAAACCTTTTAGTATAAGCTATTTGCTGAGTAAACATGATGCATTTCTTTTGAGGAAAGAATGCCTTTATATTTAGCATATACCTAAAACTACAGGCAGAGCATTAAAACTATATTAAAAACATCAATTCTGTTCCCTAAATCTTAATGCTTATTTCATTGAATATGACCTCTAAATCCTGAACTCACGGCATTCGTTATATTACTCCCTTATATTTTACTAGAGGCCTGATGCACGAAAATTTGTTCAAGTAGGCCTTCCTTCCCCTGGCTGCTGGCACCGGCTTCCCTCGGCACCCGGGCTGCTTCCCTCTTCCAGCCGCCCGCAGGCACCCGGGACCCGGGCTGGCTTCCCTCTGGCCCTGGCTTCATCAGGAAGGACGTCCAGAATGATGTCTGGAAGACGCCTGGTCTAATGAGCATACTACCCTTTTATTATTATAGATTATTAATGACCACATTTGCTATTTCATCCTCAAGTACCACTTTCACCTGGAGTGATGTGTCTCCGACACATTGCCCTGCCCAAGCTTACCCATTTTCTAACATAGCATCTGCAAATGTGGAAAATAAGACTCATAAAGGCGAGGGATTGGAGTTTTTTCTGAAGAGAGCTTTAGAATGCTTAGTGCCGGATAATGAGAATATTAAATTGACAATAAATGGAAACTACTATAACATTTATGCCTGGAGCATGACTCTCCTTCCAAGAGGTCTTTGCTATTTCTAATTCAAGGGAATGAGCTCTATTTGGACAAGTTGGTAGTATATATTTTTTATTCATCTTAAGACTTGGGGGAATTCTTCCTGGAAATAAACACAAAAATATATACTATTTGAAAATCAGTAACTATAAAGCAAAAATAAAATAGTTTATGTGCCAGATATTGTGGTAGGCACATTGCATGTATCAGCTAATTTA